TTTAGTCGGTTTCTTTACTTTCTAATGTTTTAAACAAACTAAATCAAGACAGTGAAGCGTTTTTGGGAGAGATGTATGTTAAACAAAACACTGTCCAAGACGATGACGATGATGATGAATATAAGTTATTACTTGATTTATAATGGGTTGTGACAAACATTTTATTATATAGCATTTAGGAGAAATGAGGTGTATTTTTCCTTATATCTTACGTATTATATAATACGTGAAAATATAAACAACCACTCAAAATATGTTTTATGAAAATTTGAAAGGAATAAAAAGATAGAAAGACGACAAACTTGAATGAATTTTGTTTTAAATTAGCTGGCATTGACATGCGACATTTTAAGCCACAGGATGTGGCCGGCTCACATTCAAGAATGGATTGTGTAAATTTGACTCTGTACAATATTCAAACGTATTTTTGTATTTGTAAAAACTTTTGTTTTTGTAATGAAGTTATTAACTAACGGGAGGAAAGTCAAAGAAATGGGCGTTTAGCCAAGTGGCGCGACGGGATTTCAACATGGTACAACGTAACGTCCGGTTGAGCTTTGTTTTGCACTTTGGTGAAATAAAGTAGATATTATTATTGACAGCCGACGGCCACTGAAGCAGAAGTTTTCGTTGCAGTAACAAATAGTGTTGGAAAAATAATACGTTTTTATTTTCAGAAAGGCATAATAAACATTGTTTAAAAATGTTAAAAATCTAATTTTTTAATTGGTTGCTTTAAGTTTATAAATACTAATGACCTAATGAGCTGATTTATTTATAAGAGAATATTGTTACGACTGTCCATTGTTGATGAAAAATCACGGGCTGCGTTACCATCCCTGAAGATTAAGATGAAATGCTTTTTAAGTTTTTTTTTATTGTTAGTGTTCTTTAGTTCTTGTTAATATTTACATTGACAGCATTATAGAAAAATAACTTTGACGCTAATATAGAAAATTCCGATTATTAACCTCCAAGTTATTTAAGCTAAAGCATATCACACCCGCCTGACAAGCTACGTCTAGAAGTGGTCATTTACAGGGTGAGAAAATCAGAGACCAGTATTAAACTGCTTAATGGTTACTATTACGCATCAGCAGACATTACGTCAGAGATATTTTTCTCACAATATAACTCTTTTAGAAAACATGTTATAACGATTTTTTATACGACGACTACATTAATACAAATCATAATATGTATCTGTACAAAAGCTCTTAAAATATGTAGAAGTTAAATATAACACTAAATTGGAATATTTATTAAACGTGTAAACAAAATCCTCGTTTATTTTTTTAACAAAGAACAATTTTTATTATTCGATATAAACGATAAATATCACAGTTGCTGGCCTGTCAGGAAATTATACAGTAGTTTAGGTCTCGATGCAGGCGCCACTTCCGTATCCATATTTCTTGACCTGAAACTGAGTAATTGCAAGATAAACGCGGTGACATATTTGTAATGTGAGAGAACGCATCAGAAATCCCAGTAGTGGGACGTATATAAACTGTAACTTTTTACTTTTATATACCGAAAAAATATTTCACGTGCCACTACCAATTTGTTAATGACGTTACCCGTAGCTAAACCTCTAGCTATATTCACGTCTTTAGTCAATTTGCACGCTGTCATGCAAACCGATTTAACGTAACACGTGTGACAAATTCCTTGCCCCGATTTTGTGTATTAAATAGTATTTTAAATGTATACGCGACGTTATGAAATGCGTGTGTTTGGAAATGATTGCTAGCTAGTAAGATATAGCGTGTTCCTTGGCTCTATGCCAATTGTTACATTTCTTGGCGTGCGGACAGCAGAATGATTCCCGTTCACGGTTCGTCTACTCTGAGCTGACCGACGCGACGTTTTGAAGAATAGGAATTGAGGTTGTGTTAGATGTACTACACGTTCATTCGCTAGTACGTACACAGGAAACACGGCTTATGTGAGACGAGTAATTAATCCCTCGCCTTAATGACTTGAGATTTAGTTCAATTGAACTAGGTCTTCACGCATAGTCTCTTGGAAGTCATAATTTTTATGCAGATACTTGATATTTCTACTGTACACTACTTACTACAATGTACAGTACTTGACACTGCACTTGCACCGGTAGCCTGTTCATCAGGTGGCGGCGTGAAATAATTAATAATAAAATATTGCTGTTTTTTTTCGTATAGTAAGTGTATAGGTTTACTGGTTCCGAAGCATTCCATCTTACTAGTTCAGGGGTGATAAGGCATCTAAATTTTTATGCTTAGTCATGGATAGATATAGAATATCTCTAGGCCACAGCAAGCACTTACGATAATGTTAACTGTATGCTTGCTCATCACTTTCCATTTTCGGTGGATTTTATCGGGCAATGAAAAAAAGGTGTGTTCGGACTATATACTAGATTTTTTAGCACTGACTTAGATAAACAAAAGCCTATTCACTTACGCCGTGAAGCCACCGTTGTTGTTTGCTTTCACATTATTAGCCCGTTATAGTATTAGCTTGGCATGAATGTCACGCCTGTTGCTGTCGATAGTATATAGGGTGTTCCAATAAGGGCGGGTAGATGTTGAAATGAAATAAAACAATCTGTGTGTGAGGTGTTAACAAAATCTGTATTTCTGCATGTGCCATTAAGTGTGGAATCTGACATCGATCAAATGCCCGCCTCGGCTTCTTACAGTGGCACGGATCCGAGTGGTCCAATTTCCAATGACTCTTCTGCATAGATCCGGCTGAATTTGAGCGATGGCCTGTGTTATGTTCATCGTTAGGGCATCGGTCGATTGTGTTTGTGGCAAACATAGACATGCTACTTCAAGAAACCTTCATCGCATGACCTTGGTGGCCAATTCACATCACCCTTGTGAGAGATAAGCTTGCCCACAAATCGCTCATGGAGAATGTCAATCGTGGCGTCCGCTGTGTGGCACTTAGCGCCGTCCTGCTGGAACCACATGTCGTCTAGGTCCATATGGTTCAATTTGGGCCATAAGAAATTGGTTATCATCGTTCTGTAGCGCTCGCCGTTGACGGTGACCGCCTCACTAGCGTCGTTTTCGAAAAAGTACGGACCAATGGCGCCGCCGGCCGAAAATATATATATATATATATATATATATATATATATATATATATATATATATATATATATATATATATTATAAGTATATATGCATATAACTTTTTAAGTGGTCCCTGGTAAACCTCATATGAGTTGGTGTCGTCCCATATATGGTAATTTTCCTTGTTAACGCAGCCTCATCCAAAAATGCGCCACGTCGCTAAAGATGATTTTTTGATCAAAATTGAGATCCTCTTTCAAACGATTTAAAGGCCAGTCAGCGAACAAACGGCGTTGTCTATGGTCATGAACTTTGAGGTCTTTGGCCAGTTGGATCTTGTACAAGTGTAGGGCTAAGTCCCGACGCAAAATTCGCCAAGTTGAAGTCTGTGAAAGTCCGAGTTCTTGGGCACGACGAGGAATCGACTGCCTCAGGTTCTGCTGTATACCTTCACGAACCGCAACGATGTTCTCGGCCGATATTGCGTTCCTTGAACGTACCGGTGCTGGCTGATTGTTGACCGAAGCGGTCGTATCAAATTTGGCCACCAAACGTTGAAGAGTCGACTGTGAAGTGCCACCACGTCTGCCGTAAAATGCGCGTAATGCGCGCAAAAACGAATAACCATTTTGATAATAAAGTTTTATCATTTTAACGTGCTGTTCAATCGTGTAACTTGCCGTGGTGATTTGACATAAGTAACTGAATAATAAACAAGGATTTGATAGATATCACCAAAACAAAAAAAATATCTACCTACGCCAATTGAAAAACCCTTTAGTACCAGACGTTCCGCAGCTTTTTGACACAGCTTGCTATCGGCAGTTTCGGTATTTTACACCTGGCGTACACGAGATGGTTATACTGCCATAAAATCTTTTTGGTATAGCCCATAGCCGCATCGTACGACACCCACGAGATGAAATTAGATGATCTTACGCATTGTTCAACAAACAATGCTGTAATCGGATAAATGGATAACTACAAATGCGTTTTGCTTATACGTCCTATGCTGTATATATTACATACGAGAATTTAAAGCGTTTTGCTCGAATACGTGATATTTTTTATGTATAAACAATATTTTTGTTTATTTAACTTCATTTACACCGCAATGTCTAAAGGCGGACTTAATGCCTTGAGGCATTATTTACCAGTCTACCTTATTTATTTATTATATATTATATACCTTATATATTTATTATTTGCATTATGACGTTAAAATTCAAATTTATTAAGAGAATTATTAATCTGTATCTTCCGAAAATTTTTGTATCTAATTTGCTTGTTTGTTTGTAAATTTGTTTGTTTTTATACGTGGTAGAGCCCTGCTGCAGTTATATTAGTAGTATAGTTGTAGCGCGAATGTGTCGGCTCAACTGGGGAAGGACCACGCTCTAACAGAATACCAGCGTAAAATAGTATTTCGTATGGTGAATGTAGAAAACCGGAGACCCTTTTTACTGGAAATGAGGCATTCCATCTTAGTCCGCACGGGTGACAACGCATCTGCGTCTTGATTTGTAATCGTGGATATATGTAGATGTCTATAGGCCACAGCAACCACTTACCACCAGGTGGACTGTGTGCTCGTTTGTCACCCTATCCTGTAAAAAAATTTGAAGTGACAAAGTAAACGTACATACAGTCTATCTGATGATGACAACCTCAGCTCATAGACACCTGCAATCACTTACAAAGAAGGCTGCAGGTGCTTATTCACCTCTGAGGACTAAGACGGAATGCGAAACATTCTGCAGTTATTCTGGCTTTCTATACCCTCAGATCAGATCACAGCAAAGCACGTACTGCTGCTTGGCGGCAGAAACATGTCAGTCAGTATCTACTTAGATGTACTCGTAGGCAAAACGTCGTATCTCATAAAATTAAAATAATATTACGTATTTAATGTTTTTCTTTTCCTATTAATTACAGTTCAACTTCGTGGGACGGATTTTAGGACCAAGAGGTATGACCGCGAAGCAGTTAGAACAGGAAACGGGATGCAAAATCATGGTCAGAGGAAAAGGATCCATGAGAGATAAGAAAAAGGTAAACTAAGTTGATAACGTTCTTTGTTCCCGCCTTTAATCTTTGTCAGTTTTGAAGTACAAATATATGCGTTGTATGCATTCAATACATCCCAAATATTTATTATAATATCTTGTAATTTTCACGCAGCAAAAATGGACGTGTACGTAAGGGTGTAGTTTACGTCGCTTTCCGTTATTTTTTTATAATTTTGATATTTTTAATTTACGCAATTTGTTTCATTATTTATGTTATTATTACATATGAAATATTTACAAATTTCTTTCGCAATAATTTTATTTTAGTAGCTTGTTATTTATAGAAATAATTTTTATTTGTTTGATTTTTCTCAGGGTTAGATTTTATATTAATAATTATTTTTCGGATGTATTTCAGGAGGATGCTAACAGGGGAAAACCTAACTGGGAGCATCTCGCAGATGATCTACACGTCCTGCTTACAGTGGAAGACACTGAGAATAGGGCAAAGATCAAGCTAGCCAGGGCTGTAGAAGAGGTCAAACGTCTTCTTATACCAGTAAGTATAATTTTATATTGTAAATAAATACAATAGTATAAAAACAAATAGTGGCGGTGTAGAAAAATTTCACCTTCTATCATCTACGTGTTTTAAAACTAGACTAATAAAAACGACTTAAAACTGATCTGGGGTTCAAACAAATGGAATAATATTAACCAACCTAAAGTATAACTAGATTTAAAATTTCCAAACTGATCTACGTCGATGTCTACGACTTCATACGAATATTATCATTACATAATGTAGATTATTATACTCCCAACTCTGTATATTTAAAAATATAATGTAACAAATTCCTGGGTAGCATATTATATTATTATCTATATATTATTCTTTGCAAACTGAATCGTTAATTTCCATAAAACTTAGTAGAAAGTTGTTGAGGGATTACCCGCCGCTTTGAACCATGTATGTTTATTTAAATCTTCAGTTTCAACGTCTCCAGAAATAGCCTGCAAATAGTGGTTTTCAAGTATTCAGTGACGTTACATTCTAGCTCTATCTGATTTGCGTGAATATCTTCGGGCTTCTTCTAAAATAACTTTCTATTTCTATAAACGGGTTGTGAGCGTATGTAATGTGATCAAACAATATAAGAAAATTATTGAAAGATTAAAACTATAAAAAATGAAGTTTTATCTTCTTGTCTTTTTCCTAAGTAATTTGTAGTTGGATCTGTATAGCATGTCTTACTCTACCATTCTACTCTTTTAGTAGTTATCTCTTCACTAACTCCTAACACATCCCCAAACACAGTCCAATTTTTCTTAAATCTATCGTCTACACTTATATACATTCCACATATCCACTTTCATAGCCAACACTTATCTTGTTACATGGTTTACTTCTTTTCTCATAATATGCCTATACCACGTTAGCTTTCACTATCAAATTGCTTCAGATAAATTCACTTTTAACTTTATTCTTACTTCTTGCAGTGGAAAACTGCATAGATGACAATAAGACTTGTTTTATTATATGGATTGAGTGCTGGGCTACGAAAAATATAGATTAAAGAAGAATATATGTAGCTGAAACGCGAATGTTGAGATGGATGTGTGGGGGGTGACGTAATAGGATAAAGTTAAAAACGAATTTATATACGCAGTTTTCCCCTTGAATTTATGGGGCAACTGCGGATCGCAAGTTGTTTCTGTAATCTGTCGCCATTTCATCCCTCCCGCCTTTATTCTATTGCTATTGCCTAGGCAATTCATATTAAGAATATCCTCCAAACGTCCCATTAATATTTATATAGACTCCTAAGATAATTTCCTAGCCCTAGTTATGATGTTATTTTATAAATGGTTTAATATTTTTTTAAGATTATTTATTTAAGCATTTCGGATTATCGAACCTATAAAATATGAAATTCATGTATAAAAAATGCCTGCAAACGTCCCAATAATCACTTAGAAAATTTCTTGAGGTGTATGATGATAGAATAGAGAATACAATAGCTTAGCGACGATTATGTAATGGGCAATCTTCGAAATGTGTCACGGCCTCCAATAGATGACGGTTATCAAGCCACATTAGCCAGATGTTAAATATTTACACCGGTGACTGGAAGCAGCATTAAAGGTGCAGAGTACGTCTAGTGCAGCGAAGTAGAAAGCCTGCCGAACAAGATGTTTTGCGAATGTTACAAATCTTCTCTAAGAGAGGCTCGTGTCTTGAAGTGGAGTCCAAGACGTGCTAGAGTCATGCGTGGCTGCAGCACGCTAAGTCGACTATGGAATCATCAGAATCACAAAAAATTCCAACGTAAAATAACAGCAAAGTTCTACGATGTGTTCATGTGATGATTGATGAGTTGTGAGTTCTTTTAACGAGGTCTGCTGACAGGGAATTCTATCATAGTTATAAGAGGTAAAAGCGTTAGCACTTTGTGTTGACCAAGGATGTATTCAGGTGACAATGTGCTACAGTATCCACTTGCCATTCAGATAGATGTCTGTCTCGTTGCTCGCTCGACACTAGTTACAGCCTATCAAAGTTACACCGCTAAACATGAGCCCCCCCTCCCCCATATATTGCTTCTCAGGACTTTCCAATAGTTGCCACGCTTGGCACGCGGGTTGGTAAGCGCAGTTTTTTATATATTATTTTCGGTTGTTATTAGGAAGATGCTGCTTTTGATGCTGTCTTTCTCCTCTCCTCTCCTCTGGTCGCCTCTTACGACACCCACGGGGCGATATCGTTGTAGATATTCTTACACCACCACTACTTGATATTTGACTGCCTCGTTGGTCTAGTGGTTGTAGTAGTGCGACTGCTGATCGTGAGGTCCTGGGTTCGAAACCCGCGTCAGGCCAAAAAATCAATTATTGAGTTTTTCTGTCAAGAAATTCTCAGTAGCTGCTCGGAGTCAGGAAGTTTCCGTGCCTCGGAAAGCACGTAAAGCCGTTGGTCCTGCGCCTGATCTCTCTCCGGTCGTGTCGTTTTACCGTCCCATCGGATTACGAGAGTGAGGGAATTCAGAGTGCACCCGTGCTTGCGCATACACTTGGGCACTATAATCCTGTCCTGCGCCGATGGCTAGCCTCCGTTGAGGCAGGCCGCCGTGGCCGAAATTCGGTCTGGAGGACATATATATATATATATATATATATATATATATATATATATATATATATATATATATTTTAAGATTATATAAGTAATTTTTATTCATTTAATGCTGATTGTTAAAAATATTCCTCAGCAAGCGGACGGCGAGGACGAACTGAAGAAACGTCAGCTGATGGAACTGGCCATTATAAACGGCACATATCGCGACTCAAGCGCGAAAGCCGTTGTGCCCGTCAACGGTCAGTGCCTCATAAGTATGGTCGCCTTTATGTTTTGTCACTAATCCATTATTTTAAGTTCTAACAAACTTTTGTTTCAAACGTTAAATTATGAGAAAATATCATTCGGACCCTCTTTAAATTAATAGAGGCCTGCGCTCGGTAATGATTGATGCTAATTATGAATAGGTTTAATATTATTTGTCTCTACTATATTGGGAAATTTTATAACCATTTAGGAATTTTCTCCCCTAACAAACATAATTTATGAAATATTTGATAAAAGCTTCATATTGCAATAGTTTTCAGGAACAGTTTTGAAAAATATTTTCTCCTAATATACACGATCATATTCTGTTTTAGGATTTTGTGATAATGTTGTGGTGTAATTATACCTCTCCTTTTAATAACTTAATGACTCCTGGCCTTACTCAGAACCTAAAAATTATCTCTACAGCTAACCACAATAGCAAGAGACAGGTATAGAGATATAACTTATGTTAAGTAAGCGATAATAAACGATCATGAGTCCGTAGTCCGAAAACCGTCCACTGCTACAAATGTCAGGTCAAGATCTATTATATCTCAATGGATTAGCTTTCTTAATTAAAATTTTGTCTATAAGTGCCGAACTGAAAATCGACTTCTATTTAGTTTTCCCTTTTGAGTGAACTATGTAATAATACAACTTGGATAACATAAAGAATGTCGTCATAATATACATAAAAAATTTCATCCCTATTTTTTCACTCAAGGGTGAAATTTTTTTTTTCCAAATTTAAATGAGACTATTTTTGAGATATATAGCCTTTTTATTTAATGAAGAATTATTAAAATCGGTAAATAATCGGCAAATATAAAATAAAAAAAAATATTTAAAAAATTGTCAAATAGAGAAACTTTTTTTTTGAAGTGCGCTGAAATCATTCGCCTCTTCACAGTAAAAAAAAAACTATGTGAGCGATAACAAGAACTTGTTGGACCTAAACTCAAAACTTATTATTTTATAAATTTTTGTGTTATTTTATAAAATGTATATTCAGAGTCGGTGATGCCATCTTGAATATCACAATATTATGCTTATAGTATTTAGATGTGTGACGAATAATAACCGAAAATGCAATCAATGTAATTTGTATACTGATATTAGATAATCATTTATCCAATTTCAAAAAAAAAAAAAAAACAAGTGTACATCAGCCAAGTTTGTAAGCTTGATAATGCTAAAATGCAATTGTCCTTCAAAATTAATAAGCACACACCAATTTTAAATATTTGATTTAAGTCAATAATCAACAATAATAATGTTTTAGCCACTTTTAGGATTCCTTGGTGCTTGCCTATTTTTAATGGATCTGAGTCAGAGTGATTTTAGGGATGACTAACTATATAGATTTATGGCATGCTACGGTTGTTAATTAACATGGGTGATTTCATTGCACCTTGCAATTATAAGTGAATGGTTACTTTGTGTCTATCCGATAGCGTTTGGTTGGACAACTAAGTTGATTTTATATTAATGCATTCACAATCTACAACTGCTGTTGAATTATCAGTTGAATTTCATTTATTAAACAACATCATTAATTACAGGAGTAAAATATACTTTTAAATTATACTAGTACTAGTGTGTTAATAGAATTGAATGTTATTGAAAACCTTTTCAAGCACTATTAATAACTAGCGGATGGGTAACACAGCTGCTATAATCTTTCACGTTTCAACTTTTAACGTGTGCTACGTAACATTTACAAATAATAAAATCTAAATAGCTGATGCGATTAAGGGGACTTCACAGCTGACGAGGAGTGGAGGCGCGTGGCAGCCGCGGCTGCTGAAACTCAACGACTCTTAGCCCCAACCGGTGGCGTGGCGGGGGTCGGAAGCGTCGCCTTGCGCACACAAGCGCCGTTGGGCGCTCCGCTGATACTGTCGCCACGTATGTCTGCCGGACCAGGCGCTCAAGCGGGGCTCCTCAACGGGACTGGAGGGACGGCGGCCGGGCTGCTGTCACCAGGGGAGCCCACCCATCAGCTGATCTACGCGTCCCCATACGCAGACTATGCTAACTACGCCGCGCTCACCGCCGCGGCCAACCCGCTGCTGACTGCCGAGTACGCCGCCGCCGACCATACGGGTGGGTTGTTCGCCCGTTGATCACACACAACTTTTGACAGCATCTTTTTCGTTCGCAAAGGCAATTATCCCCTTTACATTATTGAAATATAAAAAAGCAACGAAATACAACGTCCAGTCAAATTTTGATGAATTGAATACTCATTTTAAAATCAGTATAGCTTTGATAATAAATGAGGATATTATTACATTTTAAATGTCAATAATTACTAACGGGTGTCCGGTGGCAGAATTAGGATTTAAATTTCGAACTGTTTTCGAACCGTTAGCGGAGGGGCGGGCGGGGGGGTCACGTTCGATTCGTCATTCGTGCGGGTTCCTTAGTCACGATGTCGCAGTGGACGGGTGAACAACGTGCGTTCGCAATCGAAGCTTATTTTAAAGCAAACGATTCCTGTGCTATTGCTCGTCGAAGATTTTGTTCGCGGTACAATATCCGACGGTTACGTGATGCGCCAAGCGAAAATTTGATTCGATTGTGGGTGCGGAGGTTCAGAAAAACAAGTTCAGCAGCAAATAATCCGCGGCCGGGATCCAGCAGAACGTCGAGGACTGATGACAACATCGAACTTGTCGCAAACAGTTTACGCGATAACCCGCGACAGTCCGTGCGTAAGAGAGCGGCTGCTCTAGGGCTCCCAAAAACGATTGTGCACGAAATATTGAAAAAGGACCTTAAACTTCACCCCTTTAAAATTCAAATTGTGCAAGCGCTTAAGCCTAATGATTACAATTGGCGCAAAAGTTTCTGCGAAACAATGTTGCAGCGATTTCGTACAGTGAACACAATCTTTTGGAGCGATGAAGCCCATTTTCATTTAAATGGAAGTGTAAATAAACAGAACTGCCGTTATTGGTCACCTAAAGGACAGAACCCGCGATTGAAACATCAACAGCCACTTCACAGTCCCAAAGTGACGGTTTGGTGTGCATTGTCAAGCAGAGGAATAATCGGACCCTATTTTTTTGAAAATCGTCAAGGACAAACCATTACTGTAACCGGCGTTTCTTATCGGCGAATGCTTAACGATTTTTTCCTGCCAATATTAAGAGAACATCCTGCCTACAGTTCACAGACATGGTTTCAGCAAGATGGCGCCACGCCTCACACTGCTAGAGAGACCATGGCGCTTCTTCGTGATTTGTTCCCTAACAAATTGATAAGCCGTTTTGCTGACATCCCCTGGCCACCCAGGTCGCCGGATCTTACCCCCATGGACTTTTTTCTGTGGGGGGTACCTCAAAAGTAAAGTTTATGAAACCGCCCCACCGACCATCTCAGCATTAAAAGAAAATATCGTTCGCGAGGTTAATGGCATCCCGACGTCCCTTCTCCAGCGAGTGGCGCGCAATACTGAAGCCAGATTCCAAGAGTGTGTCCGACGTGATGGTCAACATTTAGACGAAATAATTTTTAAGAAATAAAACCCGCACTTCCCTTCTTTGTTATAGTCATTGAAATAAAAAAAAATATTTTGCAGTTTTTTTATTATTTAATTTTGAAATCCTAATTCTGCCACCGGACACCCGGTATGACTTCAATATTTTTATAATCAATCTCGTCTGCTATTTTAAACAAAGTTCTTTGAGTTACTCTAAAAAATTTACATATTTTTGATTGAAGATGCTATCAAAAGTGGCACACTAACGGAGAGATCACACGGTACCCGGGTTCTTATCTGTAAAATAATACTTAGTATAGCTAGATCAAAGCCTAGAATCAATTGAGTTAAATTTATTTTCAATGCTAAGTCCGCAATTACAACCACATTTTTTAATTGTAAGGAAATGCATGAACAAGTTTATTTACATGATTATTTTTTTGACTTAATTTTAATGTTGTTGCATGCTTTTTGTCGTTTTCCTCGAGCTTCACTTGTTTTGCCTGCTAATTGCAGAATTTGAAACATCCTATTCAATATATCACATAGAATCGAAGAAAATTTATTTTACAGTAATACAAGTTAACGATGAGATATTAATCCGTAGTCTAACACAATAGAGCATTACCGGGCTCATCACAACACAGTCACTAACCGACTAATACAAAATGACGTCGAGCTTATTTGAAGTGTGAGTGAATTAAAGATTTTAATGGGGTTGCAGCGTCGAGGTATCTACTCGCTGGCTTTTGACATTGGCCGCATTCGCATCAGACCGCAATAAGATACGACAGGCACCAACACTCACCGTATCGGCCACTTCATCAATTATACCGTCCTTAATATGTTCTAATGCGTCTGCATTTTTTTCTACGGGCGCCATCTTCAGTCAAATAAAAGCCATAATCTATATGCATAGATTAAGTAACATAATTTTAAGAATGATTTAGCCAAGTGACTCGAATCTTTTGTACCTTTGATGTTATTAATTATAGACAATTTTTGTTTACTTCTATCAGTTTTGTACAGTTATCATACAAAGTATATTTTGTTTACGAACAAAAAGATATATAATTTGTTACTTTGCAGATTTTATTAATATTTATACAATGATTATTAATTATTTCCAGGTATTTATTGCAAATTATATTTTACCGTTGCCTCTTGTTAGAATAATGGCAGTTTGTGTTTCGATGTTTTAGTTGAATGTTTTAGATTAATCTTAACTAAACTGCCAATAGTACTTCAAGTTACCGACTTTTCGTATACAAAGACGTAGTTTTTTAAATACTTATACACAATATTTTTTAACTTAATCTATTTTCGCGAACATAAAAATAAAAGAACTTATTAATAACTTTACAGTTCTTGTGATAACCTTTGCTTGTAACACAACTAATCTATTAACATTTTAAATGAAGATTTTATTGTTTGTTTATGGACTTATGAAGTTTTTGGACGATAAGACGTGACTTCTAAACTCATTTCTGCATGTGATTTTCATTCTTGTAGTTTTCAATCAGATGTGAATAACCACTCTAGTTGTTTTTTTTTTCTATAATTATTAACTGACAAAATCTCTGAAGGACAAAATTTAATATTTGTTAAAAATTTAGTAAGCGATTACAAGCAAAAGGGACCAAATAAAATTTGAATTATTTAAAATCAAACAAGTTGTTCTTTCTAACTTTTAAATAATGAAACTGACTGCTTAATATTATTATTTAAAACACACGAACAATTCTAGAACATTCTAGGCGATTTGAAAATATATACAAGCTTAAGTTTAATTTAACATTTTATCGGAATGAAATGTTATTATATGTTATAAATTTTAATTTATTATTTTTAGCCATATTGATTTATTAGCAATTTTTAATGTTTATAAACATACCATAGGTTAAGTGTCTTTTAAAGATTTTTAAAGTTAGTTTAGAAAAGAGTGAGCTTTATGAATATATACATCCATATTTTCTGAGATATAATTTTAGACAAGAGATGCTGTCGAGTCACATAAAAATGAAACAAATTCAGCAATACGTATACCTGGTCCGGGTTGCCAAACACCCGATATTTATTTTACAGTAATTATTATTTTTCTTATTTTTTCCAAAGCAATTAATTAAAGATAAGTAATTCATAAGTATAGATATTTAATAGCCATAAGAAATACTGCCAAATTAAAAAAAAATATAAATTTGTAATAAAAATATTATTTGGCAGTGAGTAGTTTGCAATTGTATTTAAGTAATGGTTGTACGAGATCTTACAAAATAATGAGATTACATTTTTTTCCAGCATTTAAGGTTTAAGGTCACACAGGAAATAACACCACGTAGATTTCAATATCTACAATTTTATTATGTATGCACTGTAGACTATAAAGTCAAATGTTGAAAAAACACATTTAATTGTGGATGTGCCTGTGTACGAGTTGCGCAGTTGGGCGAGAGTAAATATGTTCCGTTCAGACACAGATAATGAATGTCCGTGTGCGCTAGGTGTGGTGCGGCGGGCGGGTCGGCTCGCGCAGGTGAGGGAGCACCCCTACCAGCGCACCGCCTTACCGGCGCCTTAATTCCCGCCAAAACGCTCTCGCGCCGCCATTTTGTTCACAAGGTAAACAGCGCGCGCACACGCATGCCTATGATGAATATGCTTGTATTTCACTGGTTCTTTTGAATGTGAAACTTTCGTGTTTTTTAGTTTTTCAAACTTCATATTATAAATATCTACTGTAACTATATTACGATTTGCTTTTTGACACTAGTTGCTTATCGTGTCACACAACAATTCTATTTCATTTTAGTCACGCAAAATAGTTTCACTTTAGTAAGAATATTCGTCGGCAATGCGTGAGTGCCTCTGCTTTAATGTCTCTTTGTGTACTTTCTATTTATATTTATCGTGTACTTATTAGTTATTTTTACTAGTTAGTGTATGAGGATAGAATGTATTGATATGTATTAAACCCATCTCTGCTTCGCCGGATCTGAAGTGTCACTGCATAATTTAAAACTGTGATTTTTATATTTCTTTTTATAGATTTTTAGATCTGTTACACATGTTGTGATAAAAGACTTCAATTTTTTTATATTTACACTATTTACGTAATGTATACTATTTCATATAAGTATATATTTTTAAAAGTTATTAAATTAAGGTTGTCGTCGACATACTTATTGGGAGTTTGTTATCACAACATGTGTCATCGAGTAATCACTTCTCGAATTTTTTTTTCGGGTATCATTTAGAAGTATATTTGAGGAAAGAAGGATTGTCTATAACAATCTGTACAGCTTCAGTATGAAACTATTTACAGATTTTTCAAATTTCCATTTTGCCTAGTGGAATTTATTGGGGTGCTAGTATCCGGTTGTGAAATCCTTCTTTCCTTAATTTTCGTCCAGTATTTGTCAGAGGAGAAAGCATTTTCAGAAATGTGCCATCAGTCCAGTATTAAACAGAATGCTTGTCCTTTGACTTAATGTTTTCTTAATAATCACAATTATTTCATAGTCAAAAAAGATCTTTATTTGTAAAGTGTTAAGCTAGTTGTTTCTTTTTTGCCTTAGTTATAAAGATTTATATTTAGCTTTCTTATTTGAAAGTATATTTTATTAAGAATTGCACTTGTGTCCTTGTGGATTTAAAGAGGGCATACATATGCCAATAACGTATTATCACGCTTCATTACATGAAATATTTTTAGAATCGAAATGCTATTCATAATTTTTTTAAAGATTTATATAAGCGATGATGTTTGTGTAAGATATTGTTTAAATTGTTGATTGTAAATATAAAATGCATTTTCAGAAGGTATGCATTATACATTATACATACAATAAATTGTCTGAAATTAAAAGATAATTTGAGTTTTCTTTCATTAGCTAGTTTAGATCGCGTCTGTTATGTTTAACTGGTAATTTTATTTTGGTGAATCAGTAAAGTTGATGACGTGCCGTCGTTTGACAGCTGAATCCTCACATGACTAACATTGCAACTCCACAAGGCCAAGTTCCCGTTTATTTACAACAATAATTACGAAGTGCACTATCATTACTGCTATTGTCACAACTTGCAGAATATTTGTAATTATATATTTATATTATATGAGTCACTAACATGCAAATATGTAATGACGTTATGGATACGTTATCACAGACTTATTAACAACTTTGAACGCTATCATATACAATTATTATTGAACTTCCTAAGCAATGTTTAAAATAACTTACATACTTGCATTTGGGTGCTATGGTTATACATAAGTGATATTTTTATTACCTATGCTTGTTTGTCTGGACAATGCTTGATTCATGAAAACGCGGATACGAAACCATTAGTCTCATTAATTTGTCTCAAGCATTGTTCGTTTGGGAACTATTGGGCATTTAATCCTATAATGTAGATTATCATTATCATACTAAATTATTTAACCTTTACAAACCATTAACTAGCGTAAACTAATTAATTATGTTTATTCCCGTGTATAATTTTATTAACTGGGCCACAAACAGAGCGAAATCTAATGTCTCGGCACGAATGCCTGATAGCCTCCCTTCAATATTTTTTTTATAGAATTATTTATATTAAATTCCAGACAGCGGTTATATCAATCCGAGATCACGTTTTATCGCTTTTGTTAGCTGCATGTGCCGGTCTCCCAAAGGCAATATACCGTTCTATACGTTACACAGATTCATATGAATAAAGACAACTCATGTGAACACTAGAAGCTCTTCAAACAGCTTGTAAATAACGCGTTTGTTACCCCCACCACACCGCGCCGGCGTGCGCAGCTCGAAAGCGTTCGAACTCATGAACTCGCGATTGAGGCTAGACGTGTAGTCGGACCATGACATTTTGATCGATACTAACATTCTGTTTTCTCTCTTCTCGTTAACCCGGCTAGGTGAGTGCTAACGGCGCTGAGGAACTAACAGAAGATGCGGCCGCCCGCCTACAACGGATTCCTAGACGCCGCGTAACATATTCATCGGAACATCGATCACCATGTAGCTATAGCTGTTGGGCCTTTCACGTTAACATATACTATGTATTTTAATAGTCTAACTATTAACAATTATATGCCTGTTATGTTTATAACATGATGAACTTTATTAACATTATATTTTTTTCGAAATGGCACACGCCATCGACTATATTTACTGTATTGTATTGTACTGTCGCTTCAACGTGTTGGTTGTTAGATTTTTTTAGGTTTTCCTCTATATCCCTTGACGACGCTAAATCTAGTTAAGTATGCAATTATTTTAAGGTTTTTATAGATATCTTTATTACTTATAAAAGTTTATGTGAGCAATGTTTTTCGAATATCACATTATATATTTTACATTTAGCGTCGTCTTAATATTATAGTTTTTTTTTAATGAAATCTTGATACACTTTCTCTGCTATTTTTTTTAGAAAACAAACATTTATTAGTTTACAGAACAGTCTAAAAGTTAGCGACATGGCTTCTTTCTTACAAAATATTTTATTTCCTTACATAAAATTAAATTATTAAAAGGATTATGTTCTTTTTATCGGACAAAACATTTTATTCTATATATTTGTTATTTTTATCGGAACCCTTTGTGGGTATAAATTATTTTTAAAGTTATGTTTAGATTACAAGAATAGTTTAAAAATTTACTTAAATTCATGTTTATATTTTCAATACTTATACAAAGTAATAAAATATAGTTAAAGATACCTATTTAATTAAATAAAAGTACAAAATGCTTACATGCTTTCACAATTTCTTTAAGTTACTATAAAAGGAAATTCACAAAAAAAAAATAAGAAAATAGATTCATGTCAACATTACTGCAAGAGGCAACATCTAATCATAAGAAGACAATAAACATGTGTAAGTATGGATACCGTAAAGAATATTTAAAGCTTTGCGTATTTTTTTTAAACTGGACTGATATTCAGTTTTTAGTCTTATAAGATATTTCTATGGACTTATCAACTTCCATGCATATATTTCGACAGTATATTCTTATCAAAAACCAAAGCCAAAGAGTGTAACTTAGGTTTGATGAAAATTATATCCAGAATAACAAATGAATGGTCTTCCTTCTTTATGAGCACAGAGTAGAGTTGATAAGTTCATGGTGATTATTTGAATCTTTTACATAAACAATATATAAATAGCATTATATTTTATTATCTCTAGTGCTTAATATTTATAAATAACATATTGAATATTTTGTGCATCCCAAGTGCCTTAATCAATGTACAATGTTTCCACCTACGTGGTTCTATGATATGCAAATTGTTATATGCTTATTTTATAATTAAGTAAAGAAGAGATTAAATTATTGTTAACTTGCTAAATGTTAATGTTAATACTTTATAATCATTTTTAAATATGAGCACATCGGATCATTAATCTCCATTTTTAAATATTGTGTAGATTTTGTAGTTAGTAGTACTAGTGCCTTCGTTGCAATCTCTCTAGAGAATCTCTTAAAGCGTATGTTCTTTAACGTTTCAAGAATATCTGGTATTGTTCATGTGAATATTGGTTTTCACATGATCGTATAAAAAACTAACACTGGTCACTTAATCTCAAGCTATAATTACAAACGCAACTAGGGCATTAATTGTTCAATTAAGTTAATTGAGATGTACATAGCATATTTAGAGTTTTTCGAAAGCAATAATATTTCAATAACTATAACTTAAATTAGTGCAATAGGAATGTTATTTCGGTTGATATTTTATTGAACAAGTCTCGATTAAACGTATCGAGAAAATATTACAATTTAAAGAGAGATCTGATATTGAGATTAAAAAGATAACTAATCGATTATCACATTCGTTACTTGAGAGTAAAATTATTTTATTAGTTAGCTTATAAAATATTATGGTTACAAGTTTGACTTCGGTAACATCGCGTAACGTGTTTTGATATTATAATAGTACTTTTTATTGTTACACATCTTCAATGATTTACATTTAATCAAATTCTCTGACTTCTTATAAACAATATTTTAAAAAATGAAATAGTTCGAACAACTTTTCAATCTCACATAATATTACATATTTCAAATAATCTTCCTCCGTCCATATTTACTTCATAATTTAAGTACTTAATTTGTTGGTCTCTTACTCATTGCTTAAATTACAACAGTGCGCTAGAACAATAAATAAAAACACTCACGCCTGTCGCCCAGAGGTGTAGGCAGTGACTACAGACTTCCATTTGGAACGATCCTGACACACCTATCTCGCCTCCATTATATATCCATATACCCACGCATACATGCTCGTCGGTTAAGGGTACTCCTAATTATTTGGCTCATTTTTAATATATCGCCAATTTGGTCATAATTTTGAACAATTCAATCTTTATCAATTTAAACATTTTTTTTACAATAAAAAACAGCTTTCTTTTAAATGTTTTTTATGAAATTAAAAATATTTTGTACTGAATTTTAAAAATATACCAATTATACTATGTTTCTACCATACACATTGTCTTCCGTTTTTATTTTCTATATAATATTTTTGTTAGAAAATACATCAAAACTCTCAACGGTTTGTGTTTTTAGGATTTTAAGGCAAATATATAAATAAAAAATATTAGTTCATTTCATTTTTACGCAAATTTCACGGTTTTAATTGACGATGGAATAAGTAAACGTTAGTTAACCACAGGTTATAAGGTTTATCTAAATCTTTAACTATCGACATATAGGATATAATCTGTCTGACTTTTTTTTCTTTATCTGTCGCGGACCTAATACAAAACTTTTTACTTTCTGCTTTCAACATGAACTCGTATATTATATTCTTAAGACTTAGGCTATTTCATAACGGTAGTTTTAGGTAATCATATTAATTTCAAACAGAAATTTCACTTCATGCGTCTTTTACGTATTAAATTGAAAAAAGCATTTATTCAGAAGTAGAAAAATGCGATGCCATAGCTCGATTTATAAAATCAATGTATCTACCAGAATATCAACAGATTGTGATGAAATGATAATAATAATGTACAAATCAAATTGACGGTCTGCTAAGTAATTACCTAGTAATAATGTTGTTTCAATACGATAAAGTGCAATTCGTTTCTTGAAACATTTTTGTGCCATCAAGCAGACAATGTTATGTCATTGTTTTTCTAATTTGTACTTATTGTATTTACATTATGGCAATTCACTGAAAAAGTGCCTTAATATGAACTTTGTAAATACTTATATAATTAAAATATTCATTAAAGTATTACTTTTAGAGGGAAATGAATTCTTACAATTGTTTTCCAAAAAACAATATAAAGCTATATCTACTTTATCGGTTTAGTTAAGAAAGATTGTGCATATTACTTATGTCTGTTTTGATGTGTGTTTAAGATTGATTTGGCAGTAGTAAATATATTATTTAGAAAATGTGTATGTTTGTTTTATTTTACCCCTTAAATAATTGTCGTTGCCACTCGATAGCACGCACACACACACAGTCTCACAATTTTTTTCTTGATATATTACTTCTAGGTTCCGCAATATAATACTATCGTGCGCCAAGCGAAGCGAGCGGGTATCAGATATAGTACATTTGACAAAAAGATCAATATCAAACCGCAAACACCTTACATCTAAGCACAGGCCTGCAGAACACTATAGCTTTCTGACGAGCTGGTGAAGAAGGTCTTTAACTGTCTGGTTGAACCAGGTTGGTTTTAAATTAAATTTGAATAGCAATCCAAATTTAATTTAAAACTCAAATAATAGAAATAGTTTCGTTTGAGCTGCTTCATCAGGTTTCTCCTCATATGTACGCAGTGCATACTCTGATGCAGATTTTTCGTGTTAGGCACAGTCAAACAAAGAGTTAAGTATGCAGATAGCTAGCTTGCAACTTGTTTTAAACAATGTTCGGAGTGTGTTAAGTACTCACTCAAGTTTTTTTTAAATCATTTATATAAGTGTGAACAAAGTTAAAAAGTTATAACGCACACAATAAAAATGAATATTGACAGAGTAGTGGGAAGATGAATATTTTTGCTTGTGTACCAAATACCTTTTCTTACGGTACAATATTACTGGAATGGAGATCCCTGATCCCATATTATAGTACTTTTTTATAGGAGAGGGGCAAAAGAGCATACGGCTCACCTGATGGTGACTACCGCCGCGCCGCTCATGACAACTGCAACAGCAGCATTAAGCTCGATATGTCGACGCCGAGGATTCCGATACTGGCTGAGGCTCCAAGAGGAGTGTCTTAAAACCGAGGAGATACGACAGAGGGGTTCTTTTCAGCGATATTGCTACTATAAATATTTTTTAGGATAGGGTGACAAACGAGCACACAGTCCACCTGATGGCAAGTGGTTGCTGTGGCGCATAGACATTTACATCTATCCTCGATTACGAATCAAAATGCAGATGCATTGTCACCCGTGAGGACTAAGATGAAATGCCTTGTTTCCATTAAAATGGGTCTCCGGTTCACTACACTCACCATACGAAACACAGCAGCATTAACCCCGGTCGAGCCACATTCGTGCTACAACTATACTACTAATCGAATTGCAGCATGGCTCTACCACGTATAAATTACTTATATATGGATATTTTTAATATAAAATAATAATGATTAGTTGAGTAAAAATGAAATAAAGTGTTTTAGAAATAAGTACATATTTTTTTTAATTAATTGGTATATAGGAACGTTCTGCACATAATTGATCACAAATGGTAAGTTACACAAGCAAGTTGGGTCCTACTGGATATCATATTATATATATTAATTCAGATTTTAAATGAAAAATATAATTATTTTTCGCAGGTACTTTTTGTTCATTTAATATTCGAAAATCTGGCATGATCATAAAACGGTGGATGAAATATGATTTATAATAGGATTTAGCTATTATTATTATTTATTCCTTTCCGAACAAAATTAATTTACTAAATAATTTCTATACACTTTGTCACTACATTTTCATGCATGGTATCTGAACCTTATATTAAGGTACGCTTTAATGAGCGGTATGCTCCATGTTGAGAGGCAAATTTAATAATTTTTCGATATCATAATATCGGTCAA